CCCCAAAAATGTTTGTTGGAACTTGATGCTGGCAACAGGCCTTGCACCTTTTCTGACATAATTGATGAGAACTGAAGCATCCTTGGAGCTGATCACAACTCCCGGAAAGTTAAAAAAACTGTCCTCAAATGTCTCATCAGAGATGAAGATACCAGCAACAGCTTTTGATTTTGAGACATAGGAAACTTGATCATAGAATGAGCCATTTTCACATATGACTATCCCTTGGCGAACCGAAGACAATGCCTTGGTTGAATCACAAGAAGAAATTGTTTTGTTGTAAATAAGAGATGCATCCCTGACCAGGGCTGGTGCAGGGAACATACTCCATCCCTTGATGGACTTCCCATTTCCTAGAGTCAATGTTCCGGCAAAAAACCGGTCGACCGAACCTGCTGCAACTGTCAAAACCCAAGGAATTCCATTGTGTAAACTTCCAATATCATGTTCATTTCCAGCTGAAGAGGAAACAATTACACCTTTCTCCATTGCACCAAACGAGGCTATTGCAATAGGGTCTTGATACAGAGGAACTTCATCGAATCCCATCGAAATCGATATAACATCAACACCATCAGCAACAGCTTGGTCCATCCCAGCAAGAACGTCAGAAGCATATCGACCTTCGTCCCAAAGGACCTTGTACATCGCCAAATGAGCACGTGGGGCCATCCCTCGTGCTGTTCCCGTGGCATAACCAAAAACTGAAGCACCCTCGACGTAATTTCCGCCAACGGTAGACGATGTGTGTGTGCCATGGCCTTGAGTATCCCTTCCAGAATACATACTCAATGTTGTATTTGGATTTGCAGCTATAACTCCCTTGTTGAAGTACCGGACTCCGATAAGCTTTTTGTTACACAATGAAGCATTAAATTCTTGTCCCTCCTCACAAATTCCCTTCCACCTTGCTGGAATATCCCCCATTCCATCATCATTGTAGCTTAAACTTTCTGGCCAGACGCCGGTATCTATCACCCCAACAATTACATCTTTGCCATATTGAGAAGCAGGCCATAATCCCGTGGAAGGATTCAGAGAAAGGAATTCAAAAGTGTGAGTAGTGTCAAGTGTAACAACTTTATCATTATAAGCTGAGACAAACCCTGGTGATTTCTTAAGATGTTCGAGTTCTTGTTCTGACAAAACAGCACTGAACCCATGAAATGCATTGTCATAAGTATAAACAAGGTTTGGTGGGTTTGAATGCTGACCATTTGATGTGGGTCTAATCGATTTAAGGGAATCAACTGTGGAGGAATACCAGTGTGTGTAGTGAGAATAAACTTTGGGCATGAAAGACTTGTCCATGTGAACAATGTAAGTTGATCTTTCTCCTGAGACTAAAAATGTCACAGCAAAAAGTGTAAACATGAATGCTATAGGAAATTCCATTTTGCAAAACTTTTGCTTTGCCATGTACTGGCATGTGACTTCCATATATATACACAAATTTGAGGGCATGGCTTAAAATCTTAGAGATGATAAACTTTTATTTATTTAAATTTAGCCTTCAACACGACACTTAATGTACAGGCCTGGTTTCATTTTCTCAATAAAGGCATAACACGTGCTGAATTTTCATATATGGATAGCAACGAGATATGATCATCACGACTTACGTGCGCTCTGAGTATTAAACACTATAATATCAAAGATTTTAACGTATTTTTCTTCCTTAATACTATCTATACTGTACAATTCGTGTTACAATACGAGCCATAAGCGTCCATTCAGTGCTTTCATTGTAAGTATCAGCATGCTGACAGCGAAAAAAGGCAATTGTTCTTTAAGAATTAAGACGGCCTATGTTTGTTAGTATGGTCCTTTGGTTTCTATTGTTCTGTCTTGGTATATGCTAGCTGGACGAAGGAAACTATGTCAATTCATGGGTCGACTTGCCGGCCGGTCAATGGAAAATGATGTGTGCTTGTACAATTTTCTGAAGAATAGGCCTATTTTAATACCATGTAGAGCCCATTTCTCCCTTCAATGTAAAGACATAGATTTTGTACTATGTTTTTATTAAATGAAAATGAAGTGGAAAATTTGAAATGGTCTTCTTCTTCTACATATAAACAATCAACAATTGATTACTGAGAAGTCTTAAAATGATTTCTTGTGTACTTAAATAAAAATATTAGATAGCCTGTCAAGTAATTATGATTCATGAATAAGCCATGGGCAATTAAATAATGTTAGAAAATCGTTTGCATTACAAGAAAATCGAAAGTAAAATCAACATCAGGACAGGATGGCAAGCAAAGGGTTGTTTGGTTTCTTTGTCATTATAGATAATGAACGATAACCAATTTTGTGGCTTGTACATTTTAAACATATGTTTGATGTTAACAAGATTAGGAGAAGGAAACATTCAACTATAAGTTTCCCAAGTACTCTTATATTTGGAAAGAAATAAAAGAGAAATTTATGTTAATGATGAGTTTCGTATCCACTAAATATCGAAATTATAACTAAATATAAGATTTTGGACTACTAATTTTAACAAGATTGCACATTTAAAATGGAACTCAAATCTCAGTTCCTAATTGATAGGGATTAAATTTAGATTTCAATCTAAATTAAAGTCAACAGATTAATCGTAACCACAATTTTCATCAACTTTTATCAAAATCTATTTATACTTGGGCTTAATACGATATCAACCCAACAAGCTCAAATGATAAATCCGTAGGAATGTCAAACGGGTCGAGCAGCCATTCGGCTCGTGGGCGGCTCAGACACGTCAAATGACGAGCCCGAGCCTGAGCTGAGCCTGCTCAGCTCGTCAGCTCGTGGGCTCGTCAAAAAATGTGCAAAAAAAAATAAATAATAATAAATAAATATCACGAGCTCGGCTCGCCACGAGCCCAAACCGAGCTTAGTTCGGCCCATTGCCATTCCTACGAATCCGTGATCATTCAAAATTTTAAGATACATGTTTTTAAACAAGTCATCATCTTGTTGGAACATGTTAAGAGTAATTCTCACATAAAATTTATAACCATTATATAAGGATTTGGTTTATTTATCTTAATAAGATTGACTTTTTAGTATTAGACTCGAAATCTTACTAATAAGAATGACATACTAAAATTATAAATATGGAAACTCATTAAGTATAAAGACACAATGGAATATCATGAACGATCACGTTTAATAACATCTAATTTACCGCATGAGAAATCGATGTCTGAGATTGTGAAAGTCGACTTCCATAGATCATCTATTAATGACATTCTAACATTAATGCAGAAAATTATTTAATACCAAAGACCATTTCCTTCTTCCTAGAAATTAACATATTTCAATAAACAACCAAAGCATCTTTGGAACTCTTGTCCCATTCTTGCCTATGTCCGCAAGTTTTTGACTCTATCTTTCCAATAACTAGCCAGGTCTAATATTCTGAAAAGCCTCTTCAGCCTCCTAACAATTATTTATTTTTTTATTTTTTATTTTTTTGGGTGATATAATCATGGATTCATGATTTCAGTACGTGTTTAACTATATTGTTTAAAAGATCAAGTCATTAAAAAAGATACATTTGAATTGCTTAAAACTTTTACGGCAAATCAAATCCATTTTTTCATAAAATGATAAGAAAGATATTACTAAATATAATGTGGTAATCCCAAAGGTAAATATTCACGAATTCCATGCCAAGGGACAAGGATATATAATCCAATATACAATAGCAAGATACTATCCTCTCGCACTTTTAACATATACAATTTTTTTCCCCTTTTTTGTTTGTGGTTGGGGGGGTGGGGGGGGTGAAA